TTAATTTTTGAATAATTTTCTTAATAATTAATGGTCTCCGATTAATCCCCGCCTAGCCGATTAATCCCTTGACCCTAGTCCACCGTTGAGCTACTGTCAAGTGATTTTTGCAGCCTTGATAAATACACATGGACAAATAGTGTTATTTTTATAACCTTTACTTGTCAAATAATCGGTTAAACGATTATACCACATGCACTCAGATTGCTTTAACCCATACAAAGACCTTTGTAGTTTTATAGAATACATTTCTTTGGGTTTTGTACTTAATGTTTCATGGATTTTTATATAGATATCATCATCAAGTGATCCATACAAGTAAGTTGTAACAACATCCATATGACACATCTCTAAATTTGTAGCTACTGCTAGGCTGATTAAATATAAAAATGTGGTTGCATCCATTACATGAGAATATGTTTTCTCATAATCAATTTCAGACATTTGAGAGAAGCCTTGAGCCATAAGCCTAGCCTTGTATCTTATAATTTTGTCTTTCTCATTTCTTTTTCGTATGAAAATCCATCTATATCCTAATGGTTTTACAACTCCATGTGTGAGAATAATGGCCCCAAAAACCTTTCTCTTATTAAGAGAATTTAATTCAGATTGCATAGCATAACCTCTTTCCATTTAGCCCAGTCAGGTCTCTTTTGACATTCAATGACAGATTGTGGTTCAGGATTATCATTCATAATATCACATGCAAATGAATAAGAAAATATTTCACTTATATTACCAGTTTAATTTTAGTCATATGCTCTATTTGTTTCACCATAATTTATTGCAATCTCTTTATCATTTATTTCCTCTTTTGGGGGAAGTTATGATATTTTTTATGTTTCTCCAGGAACACTTTACTCATTATGAAGTGTACTTTTTGTTCCTCTTCTTCTTTGGGGATTTTTATCTATAAAAGTAAATGGTCTTCCACGCGTCAAGCATGTTTTAGATTCCTAAGTGACTTTATCATTAGGTTGTTTATCTAGAATTTCAATTTGAGTTGGAGCATTGACAATTGATATATATGATTTTATCATTAGGTTGTTTATCATTAGTCACTCTTTTCGTGTTAGTAAATGCATCAGGGAATTGATTTGATATTTCTTGGAAATGCATTATCTTTTGAACTTCTAGTTCACATTGATTTGTGTGAGGGTCAGGATAAGATAAGGAATGTTCATGCCATGAAACATCATTTTCTATGTTTTTCTTTTCTCCTCCTAATGCTGAGAAATTTGCCTCGTCAAATTGGCAAATTAGAATCCATTTATTTCAACAAATATTACACAAAGAGAAAAGGTATGTCTATCATTACATACAAGATTAAAAGTATGTGAAATTCTATATTATCTTCGATGTTAAGAATTTGGATGAAAAGTAATATGACTATTATAGTCATGATTACCACAAACGGGTGAATCATCTTGAAATTGATTTGTTTGATAGAAAAGAGAAATATTTGTTGTGGTGAAAATAAGTAGGGTAAAGATGTTCTTTTATAGTAAAAAAATATAGTTGTTTATAACCGTTGGTGTGTGTGTGTGTGTATATATATATATATATATATATATATATATATGTGTGTGTGTGTGTGTGTGTGTGTGTGTTTGTGTGTGTATTTTGTATGTAATTGTAAAAGATAAAAAATTGGTAAGCATGAAGATTATATACAATATTAGAATGTATAAATAAATGTTAGTTGTATAATTTAAATGTTAGTATGCATAAATAAAAGTTAGTTGCATAATATAAATGTTAATACGAAAAAATAAAAGTTAGAATACATAAAGAAATGGTAGTAAGGAAAAATTAAAACGATCTCTTCAGTATGAAAACGCCAACGCTATTTCTGAAGTAAAGAAAAATTAAAAGAAACCAAACTACCGATATCCAACCCACCATGAGTCTTATCAGCCAACACTTGATCCCAATTGATCCAATGCAATTTTTGATTATCCTTAGATCCACCACAAGAAATTAACTTCTTAGAACTTCCAAATCTTTTGCAACTTTCACATGCATTAAAAACAAAGACAAAATAAATACCCATGGATCCCAACACCAACTTCAAGAGCATCGACATACCCCTAATATTTATAACACATTAAACTTAATAAGCTATATAAAATATTATTTTTTGACTTTGTTCTGTATTTTTTTTGTTATCTTGCATCTCTCTCTCTCTCTCTCTCTCAACCACCGCCTTTGTCTTCCTCCTTTTCTTTCCTTTTTTAAACCTACAACTAAAAACACATATTAACTTAGGTAACATTTTTTTCCTCTAATTACCAAGAAAGTTATAACCTTTTAACTCTTTGGAAGAAAATGGACTTATAGAGCATAAACTTATCACTAATCACCAAAATTTATATGCTATAGTTGAATCATTTAAAGTCAAAAACAACAAATTTAAATCAAAATTTGTGCTAGATTTGATGTCATAAACTAGTTATCACTGATCATGTGGTTTTTTGCAAGTGAATCTACCAAATTCAAAGCTAATTTCATAAAGGTACAAACATACTCAAAGTCAAAGGCATTTAGGCAAAAAGTGCACTTTTTGCATGAAGCAAATAAACCAAAAAGATCAACCTAGCCTCGAATCATCACAACACATGAATAATCAACACAAATGGTCAGAAAATTCAACAAATAAACTATAAATTTGAAAGAATTTGAAGACCAATGCATACGATTCTCCACGGGATGAACCAAAAGGTCGCTTACTTTGAGAGTTACTAAATGCATGATCTCACAATCGTTTCATATTTTCAAGATCAAACCATAAATCAAGATTGTTTAAAGATAAGCGTAAACTACAAACAAATTCCAAATATAACACCGACTATATATGTTTTATAATATCAATAAATTATAACAAGTGTTTGTAAGCAATATTATTGCTTAAAACTGACTGTTTTTCCTAGTCCTCTTACCATAGCCCACATAGAACGCCTCAATATTTTGATTGGTGACCCATATTCATATTGATTATGAAAAAAAAGAATATTAAGAATATTAAGAAAGTACAAACAATAATGAGTATGTTACAAGCTATAAAAGGGAACAAGAATGAGAGATTATCTGCGATTTGGACTCCAATTTGGTCTTCGATATAATCTGCACATTTGGTCTTCAATTTGGACTATCATCCCAATTTCATTCGAGATATTGCCATTCGGTTTGCACATTTGGTTATTGGACAATCTTCATGGTTATTAGAATTGGGCGATGTTTGGGGGTTGCTGAAGATACTAGATTTGACGCAAATGGTGGTGACGTTCGGGGCCGAGTAATGAGCGTCAATGTTAGAGATACTAGTAGACGACGATGGAGTTTGATTGATCGATTACGAGGAGTTGGTTGTTAGGGATGGAGACGACAACTTTTGACGCCTTGTTTGGGATACTTGTTACAAATATGCATCCGATGAATCTGTAAACTAGACACAAATCAAAGAAATACCCAACTCGGAGAAAAATGTCAAATCAACACTGAACCTCTTATTTTCGGTAGCAGTAGTGTTTTTGAATATTTTTACAAGTTTAATGGTGTAATGTACAAGAAAAAAATTTAATAATATATTCTGAAAAAAAAAATAAAAACTTTGTTACCATTCTTAAGTAATTTTTCCAAATTAAAAATTTCAAAGTTTTATACATATCCAAATTTCACATATAAATTCTTATATCAAATTCAATGTCCAAAATTTGAAAAACTTGCTATCAAAAGTCTATTCAGAAAATCAAATATCCAAAACTATTCTTAAGAGAGCCGGGTGTGGGCAACGCGGAAGACGCGTTATTTGATTTGGCACCCTAATAACGGTGCCATAACGGTGGAACACCGCCCCGCGTAGCCGTTATTAGGTGTTATGTTAAGATACGTTATCACGAAAACGGGAGGTAACGCCGGTTATTTGCTTCAAACGGTCATAATTTCGACCGTTTTTTAAAACGGTCACTTATTAAAAAAAACAAATTTTATTTACACTATAAATAAATACAATTTATATCATTTTTAAATACAAAAAACATAAATTTCTCTCAACTACATATTTCTTTCAATATTTCAAAACCAAAATATGGATCAATTTGATCCGGCCCATCCGTACAACGATGATAACGATGAAGACGATTTGTTCGTGACTATGATGTACCGTTATTATACAGACAGCCTGGTACAGCCAGATCCAGCTCCACTACTCACGCGACGTGCGGCGTTAAATAGAGATCGTGAGGAATGGCATAGACGGCTAGTTAACGATTACTTTGCGGAAAATTGTGTCTACCAGCCAAACGATTTCAAAAGAAGATTTCGTTTGCGAAAAAATGTCTTTGAAAGGATAGCCAACGCTATGGAAGCAAAGTATCGTTTGATTCAACTTTTATAATTTACAAAATGTCACTTTTAGATAAAATAAATACAATTTTTACATGTTTAATATTTATTTAGGTATGAATTTTTCCAAATGAGATATGATGCTAGAGGCAAACGAGGTTTCACAGGGTTGCAAAAATGTGTTGCTGCAATTAAACTTATGGCAATGGGGGAGTCGCCCGATTCTGTTGACGACCGATTCTGTTGACAATTATATGAGAATGTATGAGAGGACCGCACGAGAAAGTTTGTATTTATTGGCAAGAGGTGTTGTCGAAACCTTCGGTGACCAATACTTGCGCAAACCTTCGTTGCATGATATGCAACAACTATATGCGGCGCATGAAGAAAGACATGATTTTCCGAGTATGCTTGGGAGCATTGACTGCACACACTGGAAATGGAGAAATTGCCCCATGGCGTGGAAAGGCCAGTATTCGAGCGGTCATCATGGAGCGCCTTCGTTGGTATTAGAGACTGTTGCTTCACAAGATTTATGGATTTTGCATGCTTTTTTCGGGGTTGCGGGTTCTAACAACGACGTAACGTTCTCGATCAATCACCAATATTTGACGATCTTTTGTCAGGAAAAGCCCCGGATGCTCCTTTCACAGTGAATGGAAAAGCCTTCGTTGGTATGAGTAGGATGCTATCATGACACATTTTGGGTGTGGTAATGTTGCCCACACCTAGTAGTCTAAATACATATCTTTTTAAACACTTCTCAACCCAAATGTCAATTTCATCGAAATTGTTGATTAGTCCATACTCTATCATCTTCAATGTTGGGGTGGACTCGATTTTCATTTTCATTGCACCTTGAATTCTTGAAATAACCTCCCCGCAATTATCTACAGTGAATAACAACTCCCTGGCACCCACCACACCAGAGTTAGCACCCCTTCTTACTTTTTGAGTAAACAAAGAAAAGAAACAAGAACATCAGCACCCAACTACTCTTTCATAATATCATTCTAATTTCTACAGTCTTGGTGATATATTTTAGACAAATGGGTTTTTTCTGGTTCTCAAATTGACTTCTGAATTTCTTTCTTGTTGAAACAACTACTTTATTTATGTTCAATCGGTTGTTCAGCTCTCGTTTTCCTTTCTCAATCGGTAGTTTAGGGCTGTTGTTGACTCCACTCGAAGCAACGATATCTTTCACTCTTCCTTCGGAGTTATATCTATGTTTCGGTTGTGAGAATTTCTTCTTCCACTTCGCCCGATTGTAATTTAGCTGAGTCGTGATTGGGTATTTTGTGATCAGAGAAGACTTGGGGTTTATGGGGTTGAAGGTGAAAGAATTTAGGGTTTCTTCGGGTTGTTGTGGGTTGTCCTGTCAATTTTTCAACCGGTTGCAGGATTAAGACCTCTCAGGGAGAGAGCTAGTTCATGGGGTGATGAGGTTAGTTTCTACCAATATTGTTGATTTTATATCTTGCATATAATTCCTTTTAAACTTAGTTTTATGTTAACCAGACTTACAAGTTCTATTAATTTACAGGAAGATTGAACTTTGCTATTCTTCTTAATTTTCTTTGTGAACTTTGAAATGAGTATGTCTGTTGAATCTTTTGAGGAAAATTTTCCCGCTACATTGCACTTTGGGGAAAGTGCTAGAGAGAAAAATGTTGAAGTAGTAGACTAGATGTAAAGAAATGTAGCACTTTCTATGTGATGAGGGAGTATTTTGAGTTAGTCAACTGGAAGCAAAACCTCAAGATACAAATGAGAACATTCTTCTTGAATCTAGATGTAAAGAATGTAGCACTTAATGAGAACATTCTTTTTGACTTAATGCAGAAAGAACAACTTAATAGAATTTCCATATTGTTAGAATAAAACATGATTTTGAGATACCAAATGGGGTGTTTCTTTTTTTACTTAATGCACAAAGAGCAACTTAATAGAGAAAGTCAGAGGTCTGTGGTGTAAATTACTTATGATGACAAAAAAGAGCTTAAGTTTGAGTAAAGTCTGATTAAAACCTGTATGCTTCTTTCAGTGGCTTGTTGCAAGGAAAGATGAGAATGAAGTGGGCCCATTCTCTGCATGGAATATAACTGGGACATACAGAGGTCTGTAGTGTAAATTACTTGGTTATGATATTTGGTTGTTATCCCTTCTTACTACTATTTATGGCCTGGATGAAACTCTTTTTTATGCTCTTGATCTCTCTCGTATGTGCAAAAGACGTGAATGCCCTCTTACCTCTTCTAGGTTTCCAGATCTTAAGAAACTATTTTTCGTTTTTTTGTGTTATATAATTAATTCACTTATGTTGGGTTGTGTAATAATGTCAGGGGCTTGGAAGTTCATCCAGTCCTCAAATACCTCTTCCAGGTTTCCAGATTTTAAGAAATCAAGTGGAAATTCTGTATTGGAGTTGATGACTAGGCCAACTAAAATAAATGGTGTACATTATGTTCAGGTAAGGTGTTAATTACTCTGATCATCTTATCATTCAGTGCTGCATTGATAAATGATCAAAAAGTATTTGAGAAAATAACAGCACACTTAGGAAAAATGGAAAGAAAAAATAACTTTTTCTTTTAGCAAATCTGTAAAAAGTTAGGATTTAATGGAGACAGCCTTACTTCCTGATTTTCTCTATAAAGTCATTATTTCTGCATTAAATTAAAAAAGAAACACACGTATAACTTATATAACTTACCGAATCGGTTCCTGTCCTCTTTAAGTCCATTAAGTCAAAAAGAACCATAACTTCTTGACTTAATGGGGAAGAACTTAATCTGTTAAGCTATACATGAGTGTTTCTTTTTGAATTAATGCAGAAAGAATAACCTAATCTTTTACAAATTTACCCTCATGTGTGTTCTTTTCTTCTGAAGTGTCTTTTTATCTGGATAAAGAAAGAATAAGGAAACAAGATGTGTGTTTATATCTGTATGCATTACTTGAATTAAAAGATGTTTGTTTGGCAACTGTGGTATTAGATACCTTAACCTGGATTTGAAAAAGTCTGATTATAAAATTATATTCCAAATAATGATTTATGATTTATTACAGGGTGTAATGATTTTCCATGATGTGTTTGATAATGAACCAGAAGTTGGTCGTGTCCAAATTAGGGTAGAAGGGGTATACATATGGCCATTCAGACAACTTCGAATGGTAGCTAACAGGTATTAAATATCTTCAGATTACCTTATTTGCTATAGAACTTCATATTTAAAATATGTTGATGGAATATCTTTATGAGATTAAATAAATACATGTACGATAATTTTGACTTACAGTGGAAGAGAGGGAGAGTTTGGTCAAGAAGAAGATTATATATTTTCCAACCCCTACCACTTGGTAATCCTTATTGCATCTTCATATTATAATACTGTATCTGTATGTAACTCTATTGATTCGTTCTTTCTGCATAATGTGAAAAAAGAAACACCCTTATATAATATAATGGCTTACCATATTTAGTCTTGTCCTCACTAAGTCTATTAAGCAAAAAAGAAATCACGTGGTTAATTTTTATTCTTAGTTGTAAATTTATGTTACTAACCTTGCATCTTTAATGCCTTCTCAGCTTGGAGTTTTCTCATCACAAGTATTTCAGGAGTCCCCACGAGATAAGATCTGGAAGAGCAAACAATGTAGTTTTTCCTCCCACACTTTTGTATTCTTTCTTTTTCTTTAATTAAGCTTAATATAATTATCTAAAATTGTTCTTGCAGCTCCAATTACTGACATGGACAAGCATTGTAATGTTGAAATCTCTGCTCAAATTTCTCGTGTCTCGTCCACCCAAAGTGGTACTCCCATCTCTATACTCAATTCTTTGCTTTCAACTTTATTTTTCTTCTATAATATATATATATATTATATATATATATATATATATATATATATATATATTGAAGCGATTTTGATTTGTTTGTGGTAGATGGAGAGCATGATCGTTATTACTTGGAAGGGTTAATGGAGAGCCCTTCTGCTGATGATGATGGAGATTGCTTCTCACCCATGTTAATGAATGCTACTTCAGTCAACATTGAGGTTTACTATAACAAAGCAGTGAATTACACTTTAATGGTCACCTTTGTATCCTTCAAGTCATCCCTCCCTTGTTGATTTTAAATAAATTGATGCTAGATAAAATATTTTAAATAAGCTATCACATGGGTTTTCTGTTTGACTTAATGCATAAAGCATGACTTGACAGAAAGTCAACTTTCCCCGTTTATTTACTCCCAACTTCTTACAAATTTGTCCCATTAAGTGCTGTATGGATGACATGTTGAACAGATAAATGATGTTGGTCTGGAAGAAGTGTTGTATGAACAAATGCTGCTTCTTTTTTGGACTAAATATACCGTCTAAATGAATAATGGGAATGACCATTTTACCCTTGTGTCTGGATATTGGTGTTAAATAACAAATTTACTGTCTATTTTATGTAACTGTTATAAATATGAATTATAAATTGCAGCAAATAAAACTTTCTGAAATTCTTAAAAAAAGTATTTGATATAAATAATGATATAGATTCAATTAGTTGAATCCAAAATCTGGTAAGTTACATATGCATGCTTCTTTTTTATTTAATGCAGAAAGAAGTCAAAGAGCATCTTAGTAGAGAAAGTAGGAAAGGATCCATTAAGTCCTAACTTTTTACAAATTTGCCCTCACTTATTTTTCTCTTCCATTTCTCCAAGTGTGGTGTCATTTATGCATCAATGTTATTATTCTTTATCAATTGTGAATGATCAACTGCTTTATTGTTGCTCCTTAAACTTTTTGGCGTATCAGATTTCTTTTCTTCAGGTTCTTCTATTAATTCGGCAAATGGAGCATAGTAATACACAATCTGTAAGATCTTGCCCAATAAATTGTACTTGTACACTAATATTCAAATAATTTAAAGATCATTATTTCTTTGAGAAGATGAGATACCAATGTGGATTCTAAAATCTCCTGCAGGGTGCTGCAAAGGTATCGATTTTGATGATTGGACAGCAGGCTATCATGGATGCTTATCTTTGTCTTTTACATTTGACTGCAGGGATATTAGTTGGTAAGAATAAGATATATACTTCTTTTGACATTGTTTGCCAATTTTTGTTTGTGGTTTATTTATCAACAACATTACCATTTTGTTGATTATCTTATAATTTATATGATAGGATAAAATACAGAAAAGCACTTCTACTTTCACTGTTCTATCCATTTAACCACTTAACTATTTTCTCTAATGACTGAACCATTATGCTTTTTTGACAGTTTGAAAAAAAAAATCCCAGGTTATCTGTTAGTAGAAGTACAAAAAAACACAATGTACTTTCACCATTTTATTGATCTAGGCATTAAACTATTACTTTGTTTTATTGGTTTAGCTACTAAACTATTATACACTAATCATTAAAAAAAAAATAGTGCAGTGGCTAATTTTGGATAACATGATGAAAGTACATACATTGTACTTTGACTAATCTACCCAACAACTATGACAGTGAAACTGCTTTGTGTTTCAAATACATTGTTATAATTCGGTAGTCATTTCAAAGTACAATTCTGCATTATGAAAAAAAAATTGTAAGTAGAATTCTATAATAAACAAACAAGTAAAAGCACAATGCTATTTCCTGCATTGAAACCCTACTATTAATCCTCCATAGACACATTTTTCAATTTTCTATTGCTTATGAACATGTGATGAGTTTGTGTTTTTTTTTTGGGGGGGTTGCAGAGTCGCTATTTAATGCTTTTGCTACAGCTGCATTTTTTAAGTTTGTGGTGTTCTCCATCTTTGAGATGAGGTATCTTCTTGCCATATGGAAGGCAGGTAGATCTGCAAATAATGGAGAGGGTTGGGAAGCTATGAGGCGTGAACTTTCGGTTCTTTACAGTCGATTCTGTAAGTTTTATAAATCATCATCTTCTCTGTTTATTTTGTTTTCCTAGTAAATTTACACATTAATGAGTAAGTATTAAGCAGAAGATGTATTTATTTTGCAGATGGAATCCTTTTAGGTGGAATTCTGATCATGTATGAGTTCCATAGATATCTAAGGCCGATACTTCTTGTTTTACACTCGTTTTGGATTCCACAAATCATCACTAACATTGTGAGTGATTCAAGAAAACCATTGCATCCTCAGTATATAATTGGAATGTCTTTGACTCGGCTTGCAATTCCACTCTATGTGTTTGGGTGTCCTCATAACTTCATGCGAATTGAACCCGATAAAAACTGGTGTATTACTTTGGGTCTTCTTGTCAGTTTCCAGGCTGCAGTTCTCATTCTACAACACTATCTTGGATCCAGATGCTTTATTCCTCGCCAGGTTTGTTTGTTGTTGTTTTTTTCTTTTATTTAACAAAATACTAAAAGGGCATGTTTGGTTGGAATCCGAGATTCCATTCTACAACACTGTCTTGGATCTCGATGCTTTGAGATTCCAATTCCTTTGAAAAATTCCATTCCTCGCAGACATAAATGTTGCCATAAGGTGGTGTTTGGTAAGATGGATTAGAATTCAAAAAAAAAAAAAAAAGTTGTTTGTTGAACTTGAAAGAATGTTATTCCTTGGTAAGGGGGTGTCTTTTTTTTTTTCCATTATGGAGTGGAATGAAAAGTTGGAATATAAACCATTTTTATCTATGTAATTTTGAAGAACATCCCTTTCTTTATAATTTCACGATTTTAGTTAGATTAAAGTTTTGTTTTCTAAAAATAACTAGAAAATATTTTCTTTTTGTTGTAATCAATTTTGGGGTTTCATGAGCTTTCATTAAGTTTAAATTTTTGTTATTATAAATAAAAAAAGTTCATTAATTATAATTAGAAAATTGTGTAGTGTGTAGAGTTAAAACTACACATTGTTTCTACATATAACATAAACAAAATTCATATGAAAGTTCATTCCATTCCTAGAGTCCAACCATCATGAGATGTAATAACTCATTTTATTACCTTGCTTATTTCGACCCATTCCATTCCATCCACCCAAGCAAACCCTTTTTTAGTCTACGTGCATTGTTCAATAGTGACATACAAGCAAACCCTGTTTTGACTTAATTGTCTTTGCTTTGACCAACTCTGATCTTGTAAATTTTGATGTATTAATGCAGATTTTGCCCGAGAAATATTGTTATTTTAGAAAAGTTGATCAGGATTCGGCTCATGCCACCGATTGTGTCATTTGCATGACTGCTATTGATCTGACTCAGAATTCAAATGATTGCATGGTATTTAATGGAAAATAAAATATAGAGGACAATTTCAACTCATTCTTCATTAATTTGTATATTCTAGCATCCTACTTTTTTTTCTTCCTATTACAACATTCTACATTGAAAATATACACAGATATAGCAATGTATATTCAAATTATGTCCTAATAAGAAAAAACGTAAGTGCAATGCTATAATTGGGTAGACTTTTCAAAGTACAAAGTCTTGATAGAAAAAAAAAAAAAAAAGTAGGATGCCATGACATACATACAAGTAAAAAAAGTAGATTGCTATTTCTTGCATTTAGGCCTGGCCTGGCCTACATTTAATTGGTAACCAGTCACAAAATTTATCTAAATAGGAAATGGAAACTGCTTTATCTATTTTAATAATGATTTTTGTAACTGAAGTTTTAACTTTTTCTATATAGGTTACTCCATGTGATCATTTTTTCCACTCGGGATGTTTACAAAGATGGATGGATATAAAAATGGAGTGCCCAACATGTCGGCGATCACTTCCACCTGCTTAAAGTTTTATAATATGGACATTATTATATCATTACCACTCTGCTCATGGCAATGGTTACCTACTTTGCTCTTTTTACTTTTTACTAATATAATTCTTTTACAAATGCTATAACTGAAAAACGAAAATAGGATGCTATAAAGCACAAATAAATGAGAAATGCATGCCCATTTCTTGCATTTAGCCCTTTCATATTTGTATTTAACTGCCTCTGTCTCATGAAAGTTGCAACATTTGATCTGCAATGTAATTAGGAATATATGCAACTATTTGACAAATATCTAAAATGTCATTCAATAAAGAGAAAATAAAGAAATCTTATGGATTTGGAATAATAGCATCAATTTATTCATATCTACCTGAATTTGCTTACTGATAAACAAATGAATTCATATCTATTTAAAATTTTAAACTACTATGCTTGTTTGACATTAAGAGGTCAAGGGTTAAATGCAAGAAATAGCATTTATTTGTTTGTTAGAGTTTTGTACCTTAAAAAACCTATCCAATTATAGAAATGTCATCCTATTGGGTACATTTTTCAAAGTACAATGCTGTAATAGAAAGAAATGAAAGTAACATTCTACAATACACAAATAAATAAAAGTATATTGCTATTTGTTGCATTTAGCCCTGTTAGTATACATTTTGATTGGGACATTTCATACACCATTTTTTTTCTTCCTATTTGTGTATTGTTATGACCAAAGTGCTTATTGTGCGACAATTAAGTTCATATATATTTGAAACTTAGATGTACCATTTTTGACAGTGGAAAGTCAAAGGCTAACTGCAGAAATAAATGCCTTAGTAAGAAAAAAATTAAAATTACGATTTTGTATTTTGAAAAAATATATCAAGTTATAGCAATGTCATCCAAATACAAAGCAATTTTTACAATATACAAATAAATGGAAGTAAGTTGTTATTTCTTGTAAACCGAATTGTATTATTCACCATGTACTTTTGACTGCAGGTTGATCATGGATGTTGAATTGCAGCCGAGAGGATATTAGCCAAAAATGGACTTTTGTAGAATGTAAAAAAAAAAAAAAAAGGGTGAGAGGGGCAGGCTGCATAAAAACTGTATATTGTACATTATGTAACTCATTTCAAAGTTTCCTGAATTTATTCCTCATGAATATTGACCTGAGAAACCACATTCCAAGCTACTAATTTGTACGAATGTTTATTAAGATGTATATACAAATGTACACATTGGTGAATCCCATGGAAATAACTTCAGTTTCTTGATTTTGTATCTTTTGAATATCTTGTTTGTGGTTTTAGTTGTCATTATTCAGTATGTATGGGTAACAAATGTTAAGTATATTGTTATTATGTGTTACATAAACTATATTGCTTATATTGATAAAAAGAGAAATATGTCGGTATTACATGCAGTTTGTTTGGAAAAAGATGTTAACAAGCATTTAACCCTTTTTTTTTTTTAAAGTTTAAATAAATACAAATACCCATATGATTTAGTGATAGTTTTAAAGATACAATGTGGTTGCCAACTAAGATGAACACATTGAAATCCTTTGCTTTGCTAATGATTGCTTTAGTTGTTTTATCAACTGAGGGTTTGAGCACATGTAGTCTTGAAATGATGTCTTTAAGTTTCCCAATATCTTCAAATGCTCCTCTTTTGGATCATGGTTAAGCAAATCCTCAAATAGTTTCTTCCAAAGTTCCACTTTTTGGTATCTGTAAAAAACAATAACCAATAACAAAAGCTCGTGAAAATATAGCAAACCTATTTTCAACATCATAAACAACAAATGTCTAGAAAAAAAAAATACCGTTTGAAAGGCATTTTAGGTTGATATGTATAGCCACCATCTAGAGATGCTTTCTTCTCTATCTCCATATATGAATTATGAAGCATCATATGAACAATCACACAAAGCCCATAAGTATCAACCTACCAAAAACTCAAACAACAAAATAAAGTCAACAAAATTTTATATTTATTTTGGATAATTACAGATGAATTGAGATATTTTTACCTGATATGTCCATGGTTTGTTCTCTTGCATTTGAATACAACGGAAACCAGAAGTTCTACAATCTCCATTGAACTTTGTCTTGTTGGGAAATAAGTGCAGGTCTATTCCTCTACCCCAGTCAACAAGGCAAAGTCCCTGCCAATGGAATTAACAATTATAATAAAACAAAAATACAATTTATAAATATTTATCCAAAATGTGACATATATATATATATATATATATATATATATATATATATATATATATATATATATATATATATATATATATATATATATATGCTAACCTGTTCACGCCAAGAACCACTTCTGGTGCGAAAACCATCTTCTGTTAGATTGTCCCTGCAAACACATTGTAATTCCAATCCTTAGGAATTCAATTCCATTTCATTAACGCTTTTGGTTGCAAATTCACAAAATCCTACGAGTGATGGAATTCTTCAGCATAAACTCATGGACTTCAATTCCAATCCTCCGTCATTTGTATATACAATTTACTTTTTGTTCAAACATAGTTGTAAAAAGTTTTGTGAACAACAAGTTAATAAAAGGGTAATTCAAATATTTTTACAAGTATTTAGAAGACTTTCATGAGCAAACATCAACAAAGGGCAATTCTATCATTTGTGGAATAGAATTGAACAACTACTTGCGGAAAAAAACAACAAGTAATATTGTAGAACTTGTTTTACTTATTACCTAGCATTGCGCATCAAGAGATTATCAGGTTTGAAATCACCATGAATAATACCATTAGCATGCAAACTTTGAAGCATGGAGAGCATCTCAATTGTGTAATGTATGCACAAAACTTCATCCATGGAGGCACCCGTACACACATTCGTATTAATGGCATCCTACACAATTTCCTCAATAATTATTAAATGCATGAAATACCAATTTACTTTCATTGTTTTTCGTTTTACATCCGCATTGCGATAATTGGGAAGATTTCTCCACATGCATTGTACCTTGAAAAATCTTCTCAATTATACAAAACAATTTTTAATGCTATATTTAGGTGTATTTTTTTTAAGGACAATGTCCTAATAAGAGAATTTGAAAGTACAAAAACTGAAAGTAGAATGATGTAATAGAAAAAAATGAATGTAAGATGCTATAATATGCACAAATGAAAGTACATTGCTGTTCCTTGCATTTAACCCTGCAAAAGGGATATATACAGAATTTTCTAAACTCACCTGAAGCGTTCCATGGGATAAAAAATCTGAAACAAGAATGCTGTAGTCTGAATAGAGGTGCAATTTATGAGCATATCCAAAAGACAATCTCTGTAAAGAACAATTGAAGTTAAGCAGCAGTTGCTTACCCTAATGATAAATAAAGATGGTTAAACACAACATACTTTCATTAGTTTGTTTATTATAACATCCTACTTGCGTTTTCTTCCTAATACAACATTATATTTTAAAAAATCTAACCAATTATAGCCAAATGCAAAGCAATTTTCACTGCTATAATTGGGTAGATTTTTCAAAATATAATGTCTTAATAAGAAAAAAATTGAAAGTAATAAAAAAGAAACAGAAGTAAGATGCTATAATACACAAACAAATCAGAGTACATTGCTATTTGCATTTACTCATAAATAATAAGAAAATGAGCATGTACTTCAATTTCTGGGATCCTCTTATCAAGTTGGCGATACATGTAGAATTCCCATGGGAATGGAGGCTTTTGTATCTGCAAGAGTCTTAAATGTTAGAAATCAATCCTCAAGTCTAGTTATGGATAAAAAAAATTAACTACTGTATGGATAAATGCATGAAATAGCTATGTACTTTTATTTATTTGTTTATTGTAACATCCTACTTTCATTTCTTTCTATTATATCATTGTATTTTCAACTTTTTTCTTATCAAGGCTTTGTACTTTTAACTTTTTCTTATTATAGCATTGAAAATTGCTTTGTGTTTAAATGACATTGCTATAACTTGGTAGATTTTTTAGAGTACGATGTTGTAATAGGAAGAAACTAAAGTAGGATACTATAATAAACAAATACATGAAAGTGCATTGCTATTTCTTGCAATTAACCAGATTAATATATTCAACCACCTTTAAAGCAACAATGTCATCTGCATTGTTGTTGATAGATGCCTTGTATACTTGTGCAAATCCACCCTTACCAGCACATCCCTTGATCTGATACTTCTTTCCACCTGTGAGAGGATTATCACCATCAATTACAAAGACAAGAATCTCTCTAAGGTTGTGTTTGATTTGTGGAATCCAACAGAGTAGGAATTCATGACTCCATTATGTGGTGTATTTGGTTGCCAAATGGAAGGAATTCAATTCCGTTGGAATCCTTCAAAGCCGATGTTTGATGTAAGCAAAAGTAACATTACCTATCTCAATAACCTTATTCCTAGCCGACTTCAGCAAAGATGATAATGCCACTTTCCCTGAATAACATTTATTACTTGCATGGTATCCCTGACAGATGTAAAAAACGGCTAGTGAAAAAAAAATCCAGTGCTTATAGGTTATAACATCCAACAATGAATGACCAAAGTTTCTTACTGTGTATTTTGATATTTGAGCATTCATCTTTTGCAATAGATTGTTGAGAGTAGAGATTGACCATGGATTCATACAATTTGAACCACTGTTAAGAGGGGATCCTCCATCCACCTTCAAATAACCATAATTGACATTGTTAAATATTATAACCATATTTGAAGAGCAAACTCATAATAAAAAGAAAAAAGAAAAAACTGTTTCAAGCATCATATCATAGATACCTTCTTATGTGAACAAGCATCTATTATTGCTTGCATTCTCTCAAGAAAATAGGTATGTGCCTTCTTCAACTTCTCTATTGGTTCAGCATTCCTATAACAAAACTTGACACTATACCCATTAGCAATGAAAACCATTAAGAGAGAACAACAATTTAATTTTAAATTATAAAAAATTATAACCCCTTGGTCATAAGATTAGACATAGATATGATATAAAGAGGAGAAGATTGTAAAGACCTTGAAATGCCTGACTGATACACTAAATGAGCCTCATTCATCATTCCCTTTGCTTCCAAGAACAATGCATATGACTCATATAGCAAAGCTTTATCCAAACAAATTTTAAGCTGTTCAATTTCCCTGAAAACAGCCTCGTAGTTTGGACTAAAATCCATCTGCAAACACAAAAGCGCTTTTTTTGTTTTATTACAGAGAAATTTTTCTGTGATGATAAATGAATGTCTTACCCACAAATTATTCCGAGTTAAAAACTACACTAAGCTTTATAAAGGGCAAAGCAGATAGATAAATCAAAAATCCAGGGTTAATTTGTTCATATACACTGCTTAAATTTTGTATGTCAAAGTGATGCCTTGACCTCAAGCAATAAACTATATCACTTCATTTGGAGCTAATGTAGTGCATCCATATAGACAGAGAAAAAGAGGGAAACGAGATTACATATATGAGCCAAATCTTGAGAAATCTGGTATCGTTTCGATATTCTGAACTATTCTTAAAGGTTTTGATGCAGTGAGATACAAGTTCGTATACATCCGCCCCATCAGTTTGGGATAAATCCAACTTGTCTAGGGCTGCTTTAATCGACCTATCAGGGCAAAGTAAAAAAAAAACACAGAAACTGAGTTGTCTGTGAAAAAGGTAGAGCGAAACATATCATTTTCATTTACAATAAATGTCCAGCATCCGTGAATCAAGTGTGCTACGAGATTTTGGTTGATTTACATAAACTGGGGGTTGTTTCAAGCAATTTTATTTTGCGAAGTAGCCTCTAAATTGACGTGGAAGGAGTAGTAAGCTAAAAGAGATGCGAGTTACCAGAGATGTGGTAAAAGAGGATCTTCCCTGTAGACGGTACCGTTCGCCGGAGCTCTGGAAGTGACTGCCATATGATTCGCCGAAGATGTTGAAAAGAGTGAAAAACCTAAGGGCGCGGAAATGAATAATTGAATGAAAATATTCAAAAAACGTGCATAGAGGAACATTATTATTACGAGGGAAATTACACCAATCGTCCCTCCTCCTGCACATGCCATGTTTAGTCTCTATATCCAAAAATTAACCCGGACCGTCATTGTTTGGTTAAAACTTACATGTTTCATCCCTCATTAATTTAATTTTACACGCTTCATCCCTTACGGTACCTGAAATGACAATTATGCCCTTTTGGTATTTATT